CGTGGTGCCATGGGGCAGCGCTGGAGCTGCGCACGGCGATGCTCGTGCTGGTGTCCCTGCGCGGATGCTGCCCTCGGTGCCACCCCGGGGGACTCCGTAGAATGGGCAGTACGCTGGGGAAAAGGAGGGGTTTGTGGGTTTAGAGACATGCTGATGTATCCCACCTAGTGTGAAAGCTTGCAGGGAACACATTTTTAATGAATTTTGTTTGCTCGTGGTGAGAGCTGAGACTCTTTGGAGAAAATTAGGTGTTTTTTTAAGAGGTTTATCTCACAGGAGATCCAAACATACCAATTTACACAGCAGAAACACGGGGGGGGAGGCGCAGAATCGTTGGTTGGACTGACTTGCTTTCACGGTGCCTGTATCTCTGTGTTAACTCCAAGCATCATGAGAAAGAGAGTCCTCTGAGAAGGAAAAAATTCCCACAGGTCATCAGATCTTACTTTCTCCATGCTCAATCCAGCTGTGATTTGTAATTTTAGCCATGTTATATTTTAAGAAATAGGAAACATTTTTCTCTCTCATCTCATTTTTTTTTAATGTATTTCAGAAAATACTTTGGAGAGAAGATTGGACTATATTTTGCCTGGCTGGGAGTTTATACGCAAATGCTTATTCCAGCTTCAATTGTAGGGATTATCGTTTTCCTGTATGGCTGTGCAACTGTGGATGAGAATATCCCAAGGTAAAATAAATAAATAAATAGATTCTATTGTCGGAGGCCACTAGAAACTCAACGCAAAACATCACCTTTCTCTGGAAGAGTTTTGCCACTAACATCCAGGGCGAGCACAGCTGAAACCGCGCCTCGCGGTTTCTAGGGCTTGCCTTGTGCCGCCCGCAGCCCGACGCCCCGGTCTGTGTTTGCTGGCCGTGCCTTCCCAAGGTCTGCCTGCCAGCTGGGGCTTGCCGGGGTGCGGCGTGCTCCCCCCGCCCTCCCTCCTCACATCCCGCGCGCTTCGTCTTCTGGAAGCTGTGCTTAAAATGAGGACACACCTGCATGGATGGGCGAGCTCGCAGTCCCGCCGATTTCTGCTTCCAGTAAGTGATGGAGCGCTACCAAGGGCTGAGAGTGGGCAGCAGAACTGCAGCACATTTTTCAATCGTTAGCGTTTATTGATGTACTAAAAATACTTCTTGGCGGGTTGCTCAGGTGGCTTTGGTTTTTTTTCTAACTCAGATCATTATGTTAAAACAAACCAACAAAATACTAATGATAGGGTTTAGTGCTTTCCATCATAAAATGCTCAGAAAGTCATTCTGTGGCACAAAGAAGAATCAAGAATACACATGCCTAAAATAAGCAATTGTGGTCAGATTGACAAACCTTGACGTCCTACTATTTTTTTTTTTTTTTAGTAGGTTTTGTATTATAATATTTTTAAAGCCCTATGATTTTGCATTATTTTCCCTACTTCATCATCAGCTGTAGATGAAAATTACATCGTTTGTACAAGCATGAGCACTGAGTTACAAAGCAGATAATGGATATCGAAAAATAGATTTTTGTTGTTGTTGTTGTTGTTCATTAAGATTGCTTTGTACTGCTTCCAACAGTTGAAGAAAGTCAAAGGGAGGGTCACTGTTGCTATTTCACAGATGGAGTGCAGAGAAGTTAAATTGGTTGAACTCCAGTCTCTTGATACTCAGCACTTCCCTTGTATTTTATCTACTGCTGTAGTATTTCAAAACAGGAATGATTTTTAATTTTTTTAATTTTTTTTTGCTGTAAGAGCCTATAATAAAAAGCATAGAGCCTTATGCCTCTCGTAATACTCTCTCTTATACCCTGGAGTAGAAGTAGGGCTGGGGATGGAGGGAGACAGCAGCCTTGCGTGAGGGTTTCAGCCCCAGCAGCGGTGCAGGTTACGGACGGAGCCGGGACGCGCTGTGAGGCTGGTATCTGACGGCCCTACAGACCAGAAACACAGGCTCTGCAGAGGAGAAAAGGTCATCAGAGCATGGACAATGGAGCCGTACTGACCATGTTTTTTCCATCTCTTGTTGCTTCGTTGCAGTATGGAAATGTGTGACCAGAGAAACAATATCACCATGTGTCCCTTATGTGACAGAACATGCAGTTACTGGAAGATGAGCTCTGCTTGTGCGACTGCTCGTGCAAGTCATCTGTTTGATAACCCTGCAACTGTCTTCTTCTCAGTCTTCATGGCTCTCTGGGGTAAGAAGATACATGCCTTCATGTTAAGTTTTTAATTATTTAAAATACAACAGGAAGAAACAGAAGAGATAAAGCAGTATATTTATACTTAGGCAGTTAATTACATAAAGAACTTCTCTTTTTTTCTTTCTTTTTTTTTCTTTCCCATGAAACTGTCACCCCCCAAATTTATATTCTGGACTGAAGGCTAAAATTCAAAAAGTTGTTCAAGATGAATATCAAATGAAATTGTTAAGCATCTGTCATAAAACTGCTGCGTGGTATGTCAAAATTTCATTAACGCGATTGCATAGCTTGCCAAAAGAAAAAAAAAATCTATTTGCAGAGCCAGCTTCCACTTTAGAACATTACAGAAGAAACGTATTAATGTACTCTGGGGTTGAGGGGAGGGCTCCACAGGGAAGTGTAATGGCCTTTAGTGTCTCAGGACAAAGCAAGATTGATTCTTGAGTGTGCTTCGAGATGCAATTAAGTTTATCAGCAAGCAGACATCATGCATGTAGACCATGAAGAGGGTGCAGTGGCATTATAGGTATTTTTTCTGATGCTGACTGCTCCTGTACTTTAAGCGCATCACTTAACCTTTCTTGGCATGTCTGGAGACCTTGGTTAAAAATATTAACTCTCTCATGGAATCTTTGTGAGAGTGACTTCAGGAATGGTTACCAAGCGCTTTTCTCCTTCCTGCTGGAGGAGGGATGGGGACCTCCTCCTTGCTTGGCCACCCCAGCACCAGTCATGGGCACTGGAGGAGAGGAACACCTCGTCGTCCTCGCTGCGGGCCAAGAGGGCCTGTCAAGATAAAAGGGAACTGATGGGCTCCAAAACCCGTGCTTGTTAGCTCCAGAGAGGCTACAGAGAACAGGGAAATTCTCTGTTATTCCCCCCAGCTTTGAAGTTTGATAGCCACATACTCCCAGTGTCAGTGAAAGCAGCACAGGATGATGTTTGCCCCTCCTGTACGCCTTGTTGCAAGTTAGCAAATAGCCTGGTTTGGATTAAATTTAATCTTAAAAAACATAGCCCAAGTTTTCATTTGTGGTAGTGTGTAGGGAACCGTTTTCACATTAACATTCATGTGAACTGGTTTTAGTACAATTCAATGTAGAGCAGCGTCTTTTTGACCAGGGTCTCCATTTTAGATAACGATGCTTTAGAAGCAATGCTAAGAGCTCATTACCAAGTCCTGTCGGGAAACCAACAAGGATGGTCCTGCAGACGGATTTTGGGAACAGCGGGGAGTCGGGAGCGCTGCTGGTTCAGAGGGAAAGCTGGGAAGTGGCCAGGGCGGGGGGAAGTCGAACCCCACCAGCTTTGCAGCAGAGGGGAGGGATCACTGTCTTACAGATCATCTTGCCGTGTAGCATATAGGGAGAAATGTGATACACCCCAAAGCAGGATGCGGTGCCAGAGACTTTAAATAGCCTGATTCTCTCACATGGAGAGTCAAGTATCGCTTTCGGTCTCCCTCGTTTATCATTATTGCAACCCCCACGCAGATCTTGGCACATGATACTCTGTTGTCCAAAAAGTAATGCCGTTTGCCTCCCTTTTCCGTAGCAAACAACTATGGGTCCCTCCATGCAATTTTTACACTCTTGGGCAAAGTAAGGCAGACTGTTGGAAGCCAGTTTCTGTGCTCTCTACAAAATCAGTCTGAGATAGTTTTGGAGAGGGATGTGAAATTCCTCAAGTTCTTCACGGTCAACATAAAATTTTATTGTGGTACAATAGCGCGTAAAATAAGTTGTTTCAAAAAGGTCTTTTTTAATTGAGAAAATCAGAACTTTTTCCATACAGCTTTGAATTTGTGTTATTGCAAATTTAATCTCTAAAGAATTTGTCAAAATGATTTTTTTAAACACATAAAATGAGCACTTTATTGTGAGTGTAATGGGAAGTTTTCTTAGCCTCATGGGCAGTTGAGTTGAGGCAGAGGAGACCCAAGTAACCTGCTCAGGGCATCCTCAGCATAGCAAGAAAATTACCCCAAGATCAGGGGTATTATTGTGAGCGACCATTTGGCGAGGATTTCTTCGTATGGAGGTGGTATTGCAACACCCTGGAGAACTCTACTCACATGAGCGTTAAAACAGCTATAGCACCGAAATGAGCTCCGGTCAGAAGTTCAGCATTAAACATGGACTGTGGCCCAGTGCTGTTTGGTATTAAATGGCATTAAAAATGTCAGAGAATCCAGATAAGATCATCTGGACAGAAACCTTTTGGGAATTTTTAAGCTCCATTTACGCTTATGGGCCCACATGAAATATGAAAATGCAGGTACGCTTGGCAAAGCAGCCCTCCATCGCTACCTGGCACGTTCACCGAGGGCTTTTGCAATGAGCTGGCTGTGTTTCAGACACAGTCTTTTCATTTTGCGATGCTGTAAGTCAGTGCCACTGACAGATTTCTACTAGCACTAAGAAACCACGTCTGGTTCGTTTTCCGTATTTCTCGCCGCACGTGGAAGCTGCAGACCCCAGCACGAGAACTGCCGGCGGTGGGGAGAGGGGAGGCAATTCCGGGACCGTGACACAGACCCTCTTAAGATACAGCTACGGCCACCCCGATTTACAGGAAGCCTATGGCTTGTAAAGAGGCTCAGTTGTAAGTTTTGCACGTGAGAGTTTCGCTTGGAAGGCGAATGAATGTTGTGGCCCCAGCCTGGTTCCAGTCATGAGGGTGTCCTTTCCGCTGTATTCAACTTTCTTACCCTCTCCCTGCCTCCAGTTTTTCCTGGATACGAATGTTTCTGCGCACATCTGTTAATACTCGCTGCGGGGAAGCTCCCCTGGGAACACCATTTCTTGGTAGACTTGCCTCTTTCATAATCACTTATTTATTATACAGCACTGGTGTATTCCCAGCATCTAAATATGTCCTCTGAGAACTCGCTTGGTCTCAGAGGCAGACAGACCGATATAGACCAGGATCATTAGCTGGGACTAAAGAATTGCTTTAATGAGGCTTCTTTTCTGTAAGTCTTCTCCATCAAAAAGAAAATAGCGGTGTTTCTAATAATAAAAGCCCTTAAAGGCTTCCTCTTTCACAGCCTGCCCACCTGCAGCTTTCACACTGGCATGAGTATTTGGGTTTAGGTGTGGTGACTAGAGCTAACCACGCTATTACAACCACTGGACGGTTGTACATATGACAATATGAAAATGCTTTATCTTGATATCTTTGAGGGAATAACTATCCCATTAGTACAAGGCTAGTTAAATCATTCATGTTTTGTATGTATAGATAAAACAGGGTTTTTTTGGACTTAGGGATGGAATTGCATGCAGATGAAGACCAACAATATCATTAGTCACACACACAAATGTATAAGTAAGTTTGGGTGTCTGACTTTCTTGCACCCCTTATAAAATTGTAGGCATCTTTCTATATGAAGTTGTGGATGTAATAAATGCCCTTTCTTTTAGCTTGCCTAGTGAAAAGGGTTGGTTCCTCGCACTGTGAATCAGTATTTCCCAGATGGACATTACTGTGGAATAAAATAGTAACAAAAATGAAGTTAACCCAGCCTGGTATATGATATGATATTGTACCTGCTGAGACCTTTTGAGGGTGAGAGCCTGTAGACGTACAGCAGATGACGTGGAGCGTGGCCAGCGTGCCTCCCAAGACAAATCCCAGAGGCTGATTTTTTTTTTTTTTTGGTAAAATGTCAAAATAATCGTTAAACTGTTGTTTCAGCTGCCACCTTTATGGAACACTGGAAGAGAAAACAGATGCGTCTCAACTACAGGTGGGACCTGACTGGGTTTGAAGAGGAGGAGGTTTGTGCCTTCAGTTCTGACTCTTTGACTTCCACTGTGGTGTTACCGATAGCTCCTTGCCCCGAGCCGATAGACGTTGCCTCAGGGCCACCCGCTCTTGGGGCGTTTTTGTCATTTAGAAGAAAGGAAAATCTCTGTACATGAACTGTTTGAGGTTTTTATAGCAAGGGTATGACTAGTATGTCTTGTTGCCATAGAAATGTAATCGTATAGCCGCAAAATCTGATTTTTTTTTTAAGTGTGTAGTCAGGTCACACCTAGCAGCATAGGCGTGGAATATACAGCTCAGACTTACTCCTGGGCTGATGTCAGGGTGCTAACAACTAAGGACCTCATTCATCTCACGCCGCTGTAAATCAGAAATAAATGTATTGAAGTTGATAAAGTTACAGCTCTGTAAAAAAGCACTGAAAAAATCCTATTAACTTTAACGACGCAGGATCAAGCCCTGACTTGGAAAACACTTCAGAAAATATTGCCAGACATGTGGGCTTGGGGCACTGGCAGGGACGCAGTGGGGAGGTGGTTTTATTTTTTCATTTGCTAAAAGAAAAATAATATCCCTAGCCAGGTTTATACTAAATGTGCTAAATAGCATGAAGGGGAAAAGGGCTAAATCTGTATGAAAAAGGGGTCTTAAAAATCAATGAAGTTTTCGAAGGAAAGGAGAGAAAACCTTCAGCCAGCTAAGAAGCTGTAGCCCACCTCTTTTTTTTAATTTTGCCACTTTACCAAAAAGGAAAACACCTTCCTAGACCGTAACGCGGTGCCAGCCCCAGCAGCCTCGCGCTGGACTGCACCGCGGTTCAGAGGCGGCGGCGGCGCGCGGGTCCCTTCCATTTTCCCGTTGCGTGTGACGAGCCGTGCCGCGCAACCCTGCTGCGAGAGCTGGGCCAGGACCCGTTTTTTAAACTATTGTTATTATTAAAAGAAGGATGACTGCCCTTGCCATATCACTAGATGTTCTAAATAGACACACAACAAATCTTGCTCGCGTGAAACAAAGACCTCACCGGCCCTGGGTTTAACACTGTGCAGCTTGATGAGCCTGGCACAGTTACTGTTCTCCTCGCCCCCAAAATCCTTCTGTTTGAATTATCTCCTCTTAATACGTTTATCTCCTCCATAATATATTTAGGTGCGCTACGGCAGCAGCCCTTATGCTGTGCGCTTTGCTAGATCATACCTATCTTACCGGGAAAGAATATAGGGATTTATTTCCTGGATCCTATACTGCTTTTTTATTTTTGGTAACGTGTTGTTAGCATACATGACAGTAGAAAGGATTAACTGTATCTTTCCGATGTCTATCCCCTTCACGTCTGAGTTCAGAGCTCTACACAGCTAAAACAGCAGCTGTTAACACAGTATAGTTTGTTCTTTGTTTTGTACGGTCAACTCTAGACAATACGGTCATGAGTTTAGCAAAGAATTTAAGCCCCTCCTGTTTTCATTTGGGTGAAACTTAAGCCAGTATCGTGCTGAAGAGTCATGGTTTCCAGTGATATACTAAAACCCAAAGTGTCTCATCTTGTCGTGTTTTTAGGGGCACCTAGTTCATACAATACCTACAGCAACGTTAATAAATGTTGTAGAACATGAGTAGACTGATTTTTCTCTGGTAGGGTCAAGCCATCTACTGTACCTATGTCTGTTTCATGTAATTTTTAAAAGATAAATCCAATATGATCTGCAACAGTTCAGTAATCAACGTTTTATTTTTTGTTTTTTGTTTGTTTGTTTTTTTTCTTGTTTTTGTGGTTTTTTCTGGTTTCCTGAAGGAGGCAGTCAAGGTTTGGAAAACGTTTTTGTTTTTTTTTTTAATTGCTCCTACCTTTCTTATTACATGTCTACTGATGAATGCCATCTTTTGATCTCCACCTCTTCTTTTTCGAGCATCAGATTTTCTTTAGCTCTCCCACTGATTGCTTTGCCTTTACACCCTCTCGCTCTCCACTCGTTCAGACTTTTTTCAACTCCATTCTGTTTCCCATCCGATGCATAACTGTGAATTCTGAATCCTTTGTAAACGCGTAATTATCATGAACTCTGAACCTGTGAATCTTTTGGCTGTCTCTTACTTCTGAGTGTTTCCTACACCCTCTCCTTCAATGCACATGGAATCAGTGGATGCTGTCCAAGACAGGATTAGGGGAAGACCCCAACTGACAATTTTCTGGGATCCCAAAGCCAAGTGTTTTGCATACTGACAGCAGATAACTGTTTCCCCGTGAGCTGCGGATTGCTGAAATGACAATTTCAGTTAATGACATACAAAATCTTATATTTATCAAAAACATAGGTAATTAAAATCCAACCATAATGTCACATGCTATGAACCACGCTGTCTGCAGGTTGTGCTGTATACTCTTATATATTAAATCTAATCCACATAGCATTGCATGTGGCTGGCTGATAGCGAGCGCAGATCTTTCTGGAGCTGCTGCTGTAGAACTGTGAGTGATACGAGATTTCACATTTTTTTAAATTACAGTTGACTATCAATTGACATAAATGACATACCAGGTGAATTAGAATTCAGTTAGAAAGCTCAGAAATTATCAGGAAATCAACCTGCAAACAGTTCATATGTAGCTGATATAGAAAATAAATAATTTGTCTTTTTATTAAATATGACTTGTTTCACAGGATCATCCAAGAGCGGAATATGAAGCTAAAGTTTTAGAAAAATCACTGAGGAAAGAACACAAACATAAAGAGGTACGGTAAAAATATTCATGTTTCACTTATGAAAAAATTTGAAAAAGGAGGTTGTTATAGCAGGCACGAACCCAAGACTAAGGAATAGGTAAAAAATAGTCACTGCACATTTTGTTTACATTCCAGATGTCTTTGGTCTTAGCATGCATGGATACTCAGCGTACACAAGTGCACAAGACCTGATTAAGTCTAGAAATGTCTTTAATAATTAGACAAAGGAGTGTGGCTTAGGGAAGCTAATTGAGCCAGATTGAAGGGGTGCTCCTGCTAGGCTAACGAATCAAGTTGGAGAAAACTGTAACAAAAATCTTCTGTGCCAGTATCAGTACCTAGAGCCTCTCAGGAGAGGTCCTCTGTCTTGTTAGACCTTTTTTGTAAATATTGCTAGAGCATGAATGAAGAATACTAACGCCGATGTCCTTGCCGAATTCCAACTTTGATAACTTTCTGCCTTTTAAAAACGTAACTCCCATTTTATTCCACTGAATAAGGTAGCGCTCGCTTTTGCTTTTAACTTGCTCCTCACGTGGCCATGAAAAAGGTGCTGTCAGTCATCTCCGGGGCGCGTGCATCTCGCCAACGGACGGTGCAGTGCCTACGAGCAGCTTCCCTGCCCCTTCACTGAAGGCTCCGATTCCTTCCCGATTACTGTCTGTCAGCAGCAGACCGCTTGGAAAAAGCTCCTTTTCTCCCCCACATACTGGTTTGCACCCTACCAGAGGTTATTCCTCCTTCACTGCACAAACCCAGCCACATGTATTGACCACATTTTTAAGCAGAGAAGTAAATGCTCGGGCATAAACAAAATCTGTTGGCTGAAATTCCTCTTTTATATCTGTTGCCAGTGGCACAGTAGCGTGGAACCATGCCCTAAAGTGTAGTTTTATAAAAACCCTGTGAAAATACAACTGCAATAACCACATTAACATTAAATATGCTTTAAGAGACAGCATGCATAGATTGGACTGGCGTGAAATTGAATGTGTCCAATTTTGTCATGCGCTTATACTTGGGTACCGTTGGGTCCCTCTTAAAAGATGCTACAAAGCTGATGGTGGTACGTTCCCGTTAATCTATGGGACGCAGTGTGTAAGCGGTTCAGCGTCATGTGCAATACCTTACTTGCAGCACTGCTTTGAAATCCAAAAAGATTTTGGGTTGCTGCCCTCTTACTGGCTGGATAAACAATGTTGGAATACAGACTTCATTGCGTTCCGCAAAAAACCTGCGACTCACTGTACTTTTGGGTGTATTAGGAATTCAGATCTTAAATGTGGAAGACTAGGGTCATCGGAAAATTAATGAATGGTGGCCTCCAAATATCAGAGTATGAAAGCTGAGCAATTAAGAGAAGGTTTTTTTGGATTGTTTTTTTTAACCAGACTATTTATAACTTTTTGGGCTGTGTTCAATTTGGATGTTACTAATTTGGGAAACGTGAGAAAAGGAGTTTTTTCTGAAAGACTCAGTAATTATCTTTCATTGGGATCTAGAGTATTAAAGTTCAAATTCAACAGTTGTAAGACAACTTGGAAATCTTCTTAAAGAAAAACTATCTAAAGCTAAACCTGAAATTTGTCATATTTTTTCAAGATAATTAAAGGAAAAACCTTCTGAACATTCTTTATACACCATAAAGGAAGAAGAAGGGCACAATCCTAAATTAAAAAGGGAAAATCCTTTGCAGCGTTGCTTGTTCTACCCCAGGATTTGGGGCAAGAGTTTGTCTTTTGTTGTTATTTTCTATTAACCTCAAGCTAAAACACAAAGCCTTAAGCAAACTAGTAGAGCATTCACTTGTGGCTAAACTGCTATGTACACTGGGTCAGTAGAGAGTATATAGATCACTTTAGCAGCGCTTTGTAATGCTATATTGCCCGATCCTTTTTTTCTTTCCTTTGACTGCCATCAGAAGCATCGGTATTTTCCAGAAGAGACAGCAAACAAATGGAGACAAAGAGTTAAGACAGTCATGGCTGGGGTGAAATTGGTTCTTTTTATTCAAACTTATGAAGAAACTCAAATTATGAGTAATTATGGAAGACACAAATCAATTTGTTTTTGGCTGTTGAACCTTTGTTTAATATTCACATTCAGTTCTGGGTTTCTTCCCCCTCCTCCCCTTGTTTCTTCAGCACTCTTTGGGACACTGTTTCTATGCGTTGGGAATGGCACTGCATGGCTAATCTTAGATTTACCACCTTGGACTGACGTTACGTTTTGTAGTGGAGCATGGGCCATGTGCTGAAAGAGTGGCTTGCACTTCCCCGAGACAACGTGCATGTAATAAAAATAGAATTTGAGTAATATCTTTACGTTCATTATAACGTCTGCATAATCTTCCATAATGTTCTTTTTGTTGTTTATTTTCTGGTGTTTAGAAACAATTCCTGGCATCACAGTTTATGAACGACTCTGGATGAGCAATACTGTTCTAAATGAAATTTTCATAGCCAAATTCAGGCAGCGGCTGGTTGACTGGATTTAGGGTATCCTATAAAGAGTTATTTTATGTGGGCATCTTAACTCCTATTGGCGTGGTCCATTGAATACCACATGGATAGTCAGGTAGTTAAAAATCACTCATACTGAAGGAATTCCAAATCTTACCACGCACCAAAACAAGATCTTCCCTGTCAACTGTGTGTTCATCTCAACTCAGTAGCATACTTAATCTGTATTTCAGTGGAACCAGTTGTGCGACTGCAAAACTGCAAATATTAAGTGGGGAGGCAGAGGGGGAAGAAGGAGAATTTTTCTAGGGAAAGCAAAAGAAAATATTTAACAGTAAGAGAGGTCTTACTTCATGGTTTATGACAGCCTATTTGCATGTTTCCTTGAAAAAGTATACAGAAAAATCTGGTTTATTTATACTCGCAGTGAGCAGGCGCTTGAAAAATTTGAACCTAGATACGGCGTAAACAATTTGCCTGTGTGGAATTGTAACTGTAAACACTGTGTCTCTGCATCTTCTAACTGGTTGTGTATTTGCTAGCCTTTTTTTCCCCTCTGTTTTTGTCACGTGCAAAATTACATGCTCCATCTTTATTAAATGTACCCTTTTTTTCCCCCAAATTTTAGACAGATAAAGAAAAGCTGACATGGAAGGATCGTTTTCCAGCCTATTTAACCAATTTTGTTGGCATTATCTTCATGGTAAGCATCACTCAGCAAAACATGAAATTTATGTTACCGAGTCATTGTATTAAACAGAAGTGACGGAAATGTTAGTAAAACCATGACAGACTTTATCAGATTGATGTGGCTCTCAATGGCTTTTCCCCAGTAAAATATTCGAGCATTTTATTGTTTTATTATCTAAAATCATTTCAAGAGCTTGAATTTCTACTTTGCCATCTCTTTCCAGTAAAGAAATAAGAATACCTAAAGAGGATAGGGGAAAAATGAGGGCACGGAAATGGAAATTACCACCACGATTGAGGGGATGAAACTTAAAAAGAAAGTAGCCAGGAAGTAGCGACTGGCCTCATTTTTATACCAAACTTTTTTGAAAGAAAAGATGTGGCCAATTACAATCCTGATTGCAAGGATTTTTAATAAATCCATCAAATTTGGAGTTATACCATATAGCCATATAAAGGAGAATTGCAAACAGAACATTTAATTCAAGAAAAAGGTAAAATGATGATGAGAACAGCCTTTTTCCGTTAAAACAATTTTTGAAGGAAATAATAACTCAAGACGTGGAACAGATTGGCAGATGGACAAAAAAGTTTAAGCCCTTTCCAAAGGTAGAATATGCCAGACTAACTCAGTTCATTTGGTTTTTTGCGATAGAGATTCTGGTTTGGGGTGGTTTTCTTTAGTATTTGTGTTTCCGAGAATGGCAATGCAGTAAACCTAATCTTCTCAGCTGAAGAATTGCTACCTTATAAAAATCACATTCTAAAATTATTCTATTTAAGCAATGAAAAATTGAGTAAGCTTTTGTGCACCTTTATGTAGGCAGGAAGTGCATTGATTTAATCAGATTTAATTTCAGTTTGGGATTACGACAGCATAGCGAGCCTGAGTAGGGTATTTGAAGACTTGTGTGCGCACTCAAGCCGAAAAACTCCTCTCTGCTTCAACCCTGACTTTCTTTTATAACAAAGCAAATACTGTGTATGTATGCTGTTGCTGCTAGGGCTGAAAGGAAGCCCACTAATACTTTTAATACAAGCAAGTAGTTTACATTTAGGTGCCTTAAAAAAAAAAACTTTTGGATGTGATTATGGCATCAATTTTTGCATGTGGTGGTCCAATTACTAGCAAAAGAGGGTCTTTTCCCACAGTTCATCAAAATGATTGGGAGCCTTAATGCAGAATTGGATGGGCTTGGGATGTGGCCCAGAGATCCCATTTTTAAGGTCATTGCTAAGTCCCAGGCAAAGTATTTATAGTGAAATCTTTCATAAGAGGCTGTGCTGTTCTTACTCGCAGGTTGGGCTGACGTTCGCTATAGTGTTTGGAGTCATCATATACAGGATCTCGACTGCAGCGGCGCTGGCCATCAGCTCAACTCCCTCAGGCCGGTCAAGTGTCAGGGTCACTGTCACTGCCACCGCAGTCATTATCAATTTGGTTGTCATCATCATCCTAGATGAAGTATATGGCTGCATCGCAAGGTGGCTAACTCAGATCGGTAGGTTTAAATCCTCAACTGATATTTGCTAGAGCGATTTTAAATGAGAGGACCCAAATGACTGGCTTTTATGATTACCTTCAAAGTGGTGAGAAAACCCAGGAAATTCAAATATGTGGCTAAAATTCTAACCAGCTACTTACAAATATCAAAGTGCACGTGGATTTGGCTTTATTTTTAAAGTTTTTCTTTCAGCAGTGGTAGTGCTGAACTAATCCAGTTATGGGTGACAGAGCTACAGCAGAAATTTCTAAACCTAATCTGGACCCTCAATCTTCTATATCGCACAATTACTATTTTCATTTTCTGCCATCTTTTAATTGGCATAAGACATGTCAAGAAACGCAAAATAGTTGAGTGAAAAAAACCACAGTAGAAAAAAATTGTTTTAATAATTTCTGAAAAGCATCAGTGACAAAAGGTCCAGAAATCTTTTTAGATAAGTTCTTATCCATCTGCAAATGATTGTTATGGAGGTCAGCCAGATGTGGAATGAAATTGAAATTACTGTTGTAACACAGCTGAACAGTGGGACCCTCAGCAGATTGACCACTGACCTCAGTGAGGCCATATTGCTTTAATATATATAAATATATTGCTATAAATATATACCTCTTTGTTTAAAAGATGGCTGATGTTTTGCAAAGTCCACATTTATAAGATCTTGAAATGTTCCAGGTACGACAATTCCTTAATGTTTCTTATCCATCTTCTTACCCACATTGGTTCCAGAGGTGCCAAAAACTGACAAGAATTTCGAGGAGCGGCTGATTTTTAAGGCTTTCCTGCTGCAATTTGTCAATGCCTACACACCTATTTTCTACGTTGCTTTCTTCAAAGGCCGGTGAGTAGTGCAAAAGGTGTTCAGCGTTTCAGCTTGTTGCTTATGAGACAACTGTAGCTGAGCTAAGACCATAGTTGGATGATGAAGTAAATCTGATTTAACAACTCCTCAATACTGACCCAAAAACTCTGCAGCCTCATGAGATAAAGCAGGGACCTGGTGCTCTGCTGCTTCAAATTAATAAAAGCCATTCTGTTAAGATAACTTTGTACGTTCAGATACAATCCCCCATCAGGCTATTTATCGTTGTCTGTTCACCACTCTTAACTTTATGTCCTAGCAAGTATCATGTCTCTTCTTGCAACCAACATGAAAGCACAAGGCTAAAATAAATACTGCGTGTGGCACATTCCAGCTAATGCAACAGAAATGAGGATTACCTTAGAGGATTTCTGCCAAGACGTGCCTATAATATTGTAGGACACAAGACTTGCAGTTTTACTCAGTTGTTTACTCAGCAAACAGGACTTACTCTTTAAAACAAAACCCAAGATAATTACTCTCATTCACTTTTTCAGGACTAAACATTAGGTGGTCCTACTCAAAGGCATCGAGTTTGACATAAATGACTTTAGAAATTAAATATAAAAGGTACAAAATACATACAAAGTTTATAATTCTAACCATTGTGCCCTAGATTTGTTGGACGTCCAGGAGACTACGTCTACATTTTCCATTCCTTCCGAATGGAAGAGGTAATTGCATTTTCACCCTGTCTGTGGTCACGTTGGGTGGGAGCACCATCTGCCCCCGCCACAGATGTTCCGACTGACGTTTCCTCTTGTCCACCCTAGTGTGCTCCAGGTGGTTGCCTAATGGAGTTATGTATCCAGCTCAGTATTATCATGTTGGGCAAGCAGCTGATTCAGAACAATTTATTTGAGATTGGCATCCCGTAAGTAGCGACTTTTGCTTGTTTTATTTTCAAGCATGTGTTTTTTACGACACACGCAATACACTGTGTATCCACTGCCCCTTAACGTCAACGTGGTTCATAGGCTACCTGCAAGATTTTTGCAGTCAGCCTGTGTCTGCTGTATTGCAAATACCTGCCTCCTCGCTGCAACTGCATCCAGCAATGCAGATGTCTCTGAAAAGTGCTAGGCTATCTATTGCTTTCCTACTGCCTAGCAAGAGGGGTAATACTGAACGTGTGATGCAATTATAACCGTGTTTCAGTACCTGTATATGCTGATCCCCGATACTTTTGGCATATTGTGGCTCTTGAACAGTTTTTATGAGAATAGGTATGGAGCTTATTGTGCCTGTTGATGTAGAATAACTGAAGAATAAGCACTGTGACCGGAATGGCATGCTAACTGAATCGTTTCCATTTGCCACAGAAAAATGAAGAAATTTATACGATACATGAAATTAAAGCGTCGACGTTCTTTAGACCATGAAGAGCACATGAAAAAAAAGCAGCGTTATGAAGTGGACTATAACCTGGAGCCTTTCGCTGGACTTACCCCTGAATATATGGAAATGAGTGAGTGAGGGGAAATAAGGCATTTTAAACCGTAATTATTCTGACTAATTATGATGGAGAGCTGAGGTTTTTCAACTGTAGATTCGGTGGACAGTGGACATGAGGCATAACTTAATTAGTAAAGTGTATAGTCTCGGACTGTAGCATGTTTCAGCCACCCACTAGCTGCTTCAGGGATGAATTGTGCTCTCTGCTGTTCATAAGCCCTTACGTTAGGACTATATTTTAGACAATTTCTTCCAAGCCCTGTGACATGTCACTGTCAAGTTTCAAATGCAAATGGTTAAATGGCGTAAACTCGAGATTGTGAGGCATATTTTAGCATCAATTGCACCCTACATTGGGAATAAGTTACTTAATTCAGGTTTGACAATTTCCACGGTGTATATTCACATCAGATTGTTTCTGTTTTCTGAAATCTGGACTAAATCTTCCGAGAGACACATCTGCCCATAGAACAGGCACAGATCACATATAATTTTTTTTTTGAAGTTATGTATTACATTGAGTGAGTGAGATGGAAATTAAGCACTGGACATCAGATCTACATCGCTATGGCTGTACAACCACATTTCTTTTCCTACTTTCAATCTTGGAAAGGCTGAGAACTGTTTGACATAATGCTGTTTGCTACAGTATCAGGCGTTCCTGAAGGATCTGTCTTAAAAGAGCAACTTCATTTAGTACTTTAAGGAATGAGTAGGCAAAAATAGTGGTAGAGGATAATGAAGTATACTAACACCCAAAATTGGCATTCCCAGTAAAAGCAAAGGCAAATCAGAATATCTGATGACCTTGATGTTCAGAGTAGTTGAAACATTGAAATTTAATGGTACAGACTATGAGGTCATACTGTCAGTTCCTAAAAATAAGAACAGATGCAGTTAGTGAGATGAGCTTTTGGAAGGAAGAGAGAGATGGGACTCTAACAGTACCAGGATGGGTATGACATTGATGTGCTGTCGTCATTAAACAAAAGCAAATATGATCCCAGGTTGTAGAAAGCAAGTTATTCCCAGTAAAGGCGGAGAATCAGTCATGTCCTTTTCAAAGCCCCTAAGTTTCTATTCTTCAGAAGAGAAAGCTTCCCGTGGGATTAGTGAGGGCTAAAGACCTGCCAGGTGGAGCATGGCAAGTTTAGGCAGAGCTAACATGGTCGCTGCCGTAACCGCACTCCTTCAGATCACTCCTGTGCCAGCCTTGCCCACGACAATATTGTTTTAGGAGCTTCCCCATCCCTCTGGTTACTTTGCTTGCCTCAGCAGCCCTGGCTTTTGCAAGAGGGGCAGCTGGCCCTCCAACACCCAGATGGAGCAGCAGGCAGGCAAACTGGGCCTGACACAGAAAATGTGGTTTAGTCTCCCAGCAAGTGTCATCTTGCAGGAATCTGGGGGGATGGCACTGAGGAGATGACACATGCATTCCATAAATACTGACCACAGCCATTGAAATGGTTGCTTTTTCTTTTCAGTTATTCAGTTTGGATTTGTAACTTTGTTTGTTGCATCCTTCCCACTGGCGCCTTTGTTTGCTTTGTTGAACAACATCATTGAAATCCGTCTAGATGCAAAAAAATTTGTTACTGAGCTGAGGAGACCGGTAGCAGTCAGAGCAAAGGATATAGGTAAGTGCACATTGCTATTGTTATTCCTGTTTGTTTATTCCTGGATTGATGGCAGGATATTATTATGCTGAGTTAGTTTTGTTAACAGGAAGATATTTATAGGAAAATTCAAAACATTAGACTGTGGCTTAACTGTGAACTATCGAGGCTTTGCTTTTAAAATAGAAAGACCAGAGCTTTAAATTCAGATTAATATTTTATTAAGAAAACAATATCACTTTTCAAATCAAAAAGATCAATACAATCGTGAAATATCTTGCATGGCTCTGCACACCAACCGTTCTTCCTGGCAATGCAGTTTTCTTGCAGAAGCAAAAATTTCTGCATTTTATAACTCTGGACTGGGCTGCAGAAATACACTTGGGAATGAGAGGATACTCAAAACTCTGTGGGTGAACGTATCCCTTCGTCCCTACTCAGCATGAATGTTGGAAGGGTGAAGCTTGAAAGTTGGAGTGAATCTAGCTGGAACTGGGCTCCGTGGTTGTATGGTGACAACAGACCAGTCCTCCCCTTACTGCGGGGGGCTAACAGCTATGGGTATATGTAATGAGGAATCTATTTCTCCCAAATGTGCATTACTTATGAGTAAAAAGGTCATTAAAATAATTGTTCATGTTATAGACACAGTCAGCAAGAGCAGAGAAGTTTACGCTCTGTTTCCAAACTCGGTGTTCATTCTGGTATTGTGCAAGCAGAGTTTTTTCTTGGGCTCACCCTTGTGCCCTAGGATCCTCCTAGAGTTGAAGAACACATCCTGTTTTGTCATGCTATTGCCTTTACCCCAACACTGCTTTTGAGATGTTTTTTGGCTGGGTTGTTTGATGCTGCGGGCTAAGGTTGCTGGTGGAGATGTTGGGGGGGTTGTTGGTTTTTTGGTTGTGTTTTTGGTTTTGGGGGATGTTTTGGTTTTGAGAGGGTGTTAATTGCAATTTATTGCCATTCAGTCCCGCTCTTGTGGATGAAAGAACCCCATTTCTTTCAGAGACATCCCCAAGTCAGAGACTGCATGATGGCCACAAACCAACCAGACAACTTTTAGGGCAGGCATCAGCAGAATCAGGAAAGGGAGAAGCTCCCACCTGCTAAAGGCAGTGGGTCACCACTGGCAGCAAACAGAGGTCTATCTCTGCTTCCACTGATACTGTAATATCTGTTCCTGAAGTTCAGTCCTGCACTCTGTCCAGGCTGGCTTGCATATGCTGTGCCAGAAGACCAAAGCTATAAGAAGTATGAGTTAGTTACCAAGTAAAGGATTCGGCCAGGCTGGAGGAGTCTCCCAGGGATGTCACCCTGTGTGAAGCCTCCAACACGTTCCTTCCCCCTCAGTCCCAGGATAGGAGAGTGGCTCATCAGGGCTCTAACCCCATGGATCTGGTAGCAGCCCTGGATTTTTCCATCAAGATTGAATCTTGCTGTTTGAGTACTCAACTAAGAAGAAATTTCCAAGCTGTCACTAATGACAAGGAGACTGTTAGAGAGGCTAGGGATGAGGGTGCACCACCACGTACACAAACCAGCACTTTCCGTAGACTTCAGAGAAGCCCTTCCGTGATGAATGGGATCTGGAGATGTGGAAGGGGCAGAACTGTGGGACTTCATGCATTACCCTCAGACTAAATCCGGAAAGGCCGAACCTGAGTCAGTATGGGGTTTGTTGCTATTACATTTTGAATGCACACTGAGGAAACTCCTATCAGTATGGTTTCCAGTTGCAAATGGAAAAACCCCATCGAGTGGCTCCACTGGAGCTTTGCGTTCTCGAAACTGAGTTAGGATAAATAGTGATGAGAAGGTGTAGAAACAGATTCAGATCCTTTAAAGTGGTAGACTGGTATGTTTGTCACCACTTGTGTGGAGGTGCCAGCTCCCTATCTGTAGCTTTTTTTTTTCTCCTCAAGCATTTGAGAAGGCTGAATGAAATTTCATTATGTTTTTCTTTTCTACCTGTGCCAGCATTCTTCTGCCTCACATTTGCCCACCTCTTCCTCAAAGAAGGTTTTAGCTTAAAACCTCAAAAAATAGGTTCCTTAACACAGCTGTGGAAGACAGATGTAGGCTTCCTTTGCTTAAAGGTCGTTAACTTAATCTCTTATAATTTGTTCTTTTTTAATTTAAAATATAACCCTATTTCAGCACACTCATAAGTACTCCTAACACTGTTAACTAAAAATGTAATTCATCTAATGAGCGTTTACATATTTGTCTCCTTCCTTAGGAATCTGGTATAATATCCTCAGAGGAATTGGAAAGCTTGCTGTCATAATAAATGTAAGTAATTCAGCATGAATAAAATTTTTAATTCAAGAGACTGGCTTTTCCATTCTGCTCCATTGGTTTTATTTCAGCATAAATCCCTTAAAATCAAGTGAAATTATATGATTTAGAAATGTTCTGAAATATTAGAGAATTGGATGCAGTATTTATTTTAAAGTTGTGACAGTAGTAGCAATAATGTAAAATAGTAAGTAGTCATTGCAGCCTTTTTCCAAAATGTTTTCATAAAACAGTTTTGCCCTTCAAACAAATAAGACCACAGCTGCTTACTTTTGCTCTTTTGAAATACTATCACTAAGATGATGTATTTTTTATTTTCAGTGCTAAAACCTGTTTAGGGTCAGGTAGCCAACTGGCTGTGAATTAGTTCAGCTCATCACAGCACAGTGTCCCTCCATTGAAAATCTGGCCTCAAACTGCGTTGCTGTCACTCAGATAGCTCTGCAAATCCATGCAAATATTTTTTTTTACTTCAAGAGTGATATCCCAGCCCTTAGGAAATTTTAGTATGCCTTAATATATACATTTATGTACTTATCTAATATTCTACAAGTAGACACCCACAATGATCATCTTCATTGCACGCCACCTGGGGAGTGATAAAAGAAAAAAAGCTGAAATACAAGCTGAAAACATGTTTGCAATGAGCAAAATAGGGGCCATGTAGGGCCTACGGCCATGCGTCCATGGGCCCTCTTATTTTTTTCACTATTATCCAGACTGGAAATCCCTTTGCTTTGCCCACAGGTGTCTGTTGTGCTATGGCCAAACCATTGTTTTGGTTATTTGATATGCTGCCTTAATTTGTCTTTACCATTTCTCCTCTTCTCCTTTGGAAATAATTTATCTTTTTTTTTTTTTCTCTTTTCTTCAATCTCTTCGTCATTATCCAGTGTTATTTTTCCCTCTTTGATCTATGTGCTACTCCTCTTTATCATAAAACAAGTAAAACATTTTGTACTGTGTTTGTTCCACATGGACATGAGATTTATGCCAGTGAGAATGTTTCATCATAATGATAAATGAGAAAAGCTGAAGTTATGAGGAACTCAGCCGAACTGGCCGTCTCACATTTTCTGTATGACATTTTTAGAAAACCTTTTTAAATAACCAAATAAAACAATTTTTGTGACCATAAAAATAAAAATGGGTTCAGTCTGCTCATCCTTTTATCTTGATGGAGTTAAAAACCACATACAATTAATACTTCTGCAACGTGATGAGAATTTAAAGAGTCAATTCACTGTCAGTTGTTTGCAGAACAGAAAAATGCTTGGTAATCCATCAATTGTACCTTATACAATGCATCAGGGACAAGCTGTGATGGGGGGACGGGGAAATAGCGCTGTGTTTTGCTCTCTGCTGGTGCTGGGGCTACGGCCACTTCATTCTCTGGGGAGTTCAAGTTGTTATCCACGCAGAAATCTCAGTTGGCGTGGAACTAGTCCATCTAATATTCTGTAACTGGGAAGAGTAAGAAGTAAATACTACTTTGTTGCAGCAGCGAATACTCGATTTTTAGGGCCGCGTGGGCTGCAGCCTCCCCCCTTGTTTTCTGAAGCAGTCCCTGAGTTGCGTTAGTTGTTTGGCCAAGATGTACTTGAGTATATTATTAACTTAACCACTGCCTGAATATTGCGCTCACTCTTTACTCTTATGGCTTAGGCATTTGTGATCTCATTCACATCCGACTTCATTCCACGCCTCGTGTACCTGTATATGTACAGTGAGAATGGCACCATGCATGGCTTCGTGAACCATACACTATCCTCTTTTAATGTCAGCGATTTTCAAGCAGGAACAGCTCCAAATGACCCCATGGATCTTGGCTACGAGGTTCAGATATGCAGGTACTTCAGTGATAACTATCTTCAAGTATTTTCACAGCTGACTAAGAATGGGACAAATTTTTACATTCCCTTGTATTTTCAATACTTTTTTAGCACCTTGGTAGCCTTTTATATTAGATGGATCCATTGCCTTGAATGTCTTGGCTTACCTATTAAGCAACGACAACACCTGGCTATGAACTACTGCTTATTAGGGGAAATAGAGATTAGCGTTGTTAAATTCGGTGTTTGTCCATGCAAAGGTTTTTAATTATTATGTATTCCTTTTTTCAGGAAAGGAAATAAATAATGATAAACAGCACAATGATGCTTTAAGGGAAACAAAATGATGTTACTCTGATGTCATGTTGTTGTGTCAGATACTACTGATATAATGACCATGACTTCACAGTACACCTCTCTCTTTTTTGGTCCAGCTTCTGTAGAAATTCTTGATTAAAGTAATAGCATCCTCATCTGAAGCGGGACTTAAGACCCACTTAAAGTGTCACCATACAGGAAATCTGCATGTCTGTAACAATTTCTACATATTATTGTCATTATTAAAGGAAAATTATTGTTGCATATTTCAGCTTATGAAGCAATCTCAGTCAGTGCTGAACTGCATGCTTTGGCTAGGCTTCCTTAGGTATCCATCATCTTCAAAACAAATGTTTTAGCACGTAGAATTGGGGACCAAAGCCAAATATAACAGTGAAAGCATGTAGAACAGCAAAACTGAAAGAGGGGCAATGGGGATAAGAAAGGGAAGAGGAGAACAAGGAAGAAAGCAACATTCCAGGGGAAGAAAAAAAAGTAAGATGACTTTGGTATACATACACTAAACAAATTACACAAACTGGCCAGAAAAAAACCCCACCTTTATAATTGTATTACTTTTCAATTTATATTCTTTATAAATTTGAATAGTGCAAGTTAATCTTCTGAAATGACTGCTAAACAGAAAAACCACTCTGAGATGAAAGAAAAAAACAACCAAAATTGCATATGTATTAGCTTTTACTTTCTTCTGGTTTCCTTCTGGTGATCTTTGGGCACAGGATAAATGAGGTTGGCAAACATGTTTTTATCACAGAACTTACAGAACGAAAATGTTAACTGTCATGGTCTGATACCAAACTGCCAGGTTTATTTGCTTTTGAGTGACATCCTCTTTCTTCTTCCGATCCCATCATTTCTTCCATGTTCTAAGGATTTTTAAATCATTTGAAAATATGGAACCCCAATTCTTTCAAAATACTGACAGGAGGCTGCTGTTTCAAATTTAATGTATTTTTCTTGGTCCCATTTCTAAGAAGTTGTTGTTGATTAGCTGTAAGCCATAGCCAAGGCAAAATTCTCACATTCTCTCTGTATGTCAAAATTTAGCTGCAACCTTTTGCTAATCATGAACAAGGAGAACACCACATAGCATAATACACTCTACGGATCTGAGATCAGTACTTCTGTCTTTAAAATTAGTCTGAAAAATATATGTTGGGGTTTTTTTTACCAATCTTAAAAGAAAATAAATTATCTGAGCTGCGTAGTTTATTCCATGTTTATGTAGAATTGATATTATTTGTAACAATCAGAGGGCATTGAGATTGAAGACCTTTAATTTCAAGTAAAACTTGAAGGCTGTAGGAGGCTTTCAGCTGTGTCTTGTTTCTGAGAGGTTAATATAGCATCATGCTGTAATACTGAACTGGCTTTCAGAGGCTTTGATTTACTGTTCGACTGTTTGGTATTAATTTCTCATGGTGCTAAAATTTCAGAACGACATCACTGATTTACTGAGTCTTGTTTTGCAGATACAAAGATTATCGAGAACCCCCTTGGTCCGAAAACAAGTACGACATTTCAAAGGATTTCTGGGCTGTCCTAGCAGCGAGATTAGCATTTGTGATAGTTTTCCAGGTAGGTTATACTGTAGGCACTTTTTATATGAGAAAGAAATAAAGAGTTATCATATTTCTTCAGCTACATAAGGCAAGCCACCTTTGGAAATAAGTTATTAGGCCAAAGAAAATACCTTCTTTCTCAACTGTTTCATGGAAAAGCAAAGAAATTTGCCCATCCTCATTCACGCTCTCCCTCCCACCTGCCCAGGCCCAGCCATATCCCCAGCAGAAAAATTCATCCCCATGGATTCCCTGAACTGGTTTGATGCAGAAGCAACTTAATGACCTTAGTGAGCAGCAAAGCACAGGCTGACACTAATTATGTACCACCAATTTCTCCAGTATGACATTAACAACTTCACTGACGCAGCACAAATTTAATCCAAACCAATTTCTAGACCTAGCCAAGAAATTAAATTTCCAAAATTTCCCAGTTATAGTTTATCTCGCATCTGAATAAGAAGGCAAAATCTTGTAATTTTTCACTAAGTGACATTATTCAATCACAACAGTGATGACAGTTATCATGACACAAGTGTTTTAAGTCTGCCTTATCTAAACAAGTTGTTTCAAAACTTTTATTCATTTTTCTTTTTTTTTAATTGACAAAATAGGTATGTTTTTGTGAAAGACCTTCCTTTCATTGAATCAAGGTTTTTAAATCAGAAATATTTAATTGGAATGTATTTTACCAACTTTCATCATTTTACCTCTTGCTATTTGCTTCTGCCTTTCTGCTGTAAAACTTGTAAGCCACTTATCAATGACAGTATTTCCTTTGGATTTCTAAGTGGCTGTGACAGTATTTGTATGTAAGTCACAGAGATCTGTGCCTGCCATTTTTCTCTACTTCTAGCATGACAGTTGAGGTGAATTTGGCTCAGTATCAGGCTTGTGACATGCCATTGAGCCCAACTCAAATATTATCTTTTCTTCATTCTTCCTTCCTACATACACCAAAAATGGCCCCTTCCCCTCCAGTCATCCTTTCATCTGACCTTGCTGACATTTTCTCACAATTTCATTTTCAGAACTTGGTCATGTTCATGAGTGACTTTGTTGACTGGATTATCCCAGACATTCCCAAAGACATTAGTCAGCAGATTCATAAAGAGAAAGTTCTCATGGTGGAGGTCTTCATGAGAGAAGAGCAAGGGAAGCTGCAAATGCTAGAAACCTGGAAAGACAAGGACAAGAAAAAGGGTGAAAACTGTAACAGTCACAGCCCCAGACTCTCCAGGAGCCACAGTGGGAGCTTGTCCTCCTGCCATTCATATCCTCTTGACGTATAGAAGAGGAGGGAGTTGAGTATGTCGGGGCATTCCACTGATACACAAGCCATCGCGTAAAGGGCAGGACTCAATGGACAACCTGGTGCATGTTGAAGGATGTGCTGCCATTTTGCTCCCATCTTTGTGAGAAATGCTCTTCTTACAAATATGGAGGACCACATTCTATTTCTGATAATGTTGTTTTTTCTTTTGCACAAGCAGTAATGCAGGGAATTTTTATATTTCATCGATAGATAATGCTGTTGACGTTGGTGTGCATTAATAAATGCAGGTACTTAGTACGACTTGATAGAGATATTCTCTGAGAATTTAACCGCAGCCTATTAATTAACTAAATAAATAAAGGTAAATTTTAAGTAATAATAATACTACTAATTTAAAATATTTTTGGAACCCCAGGCTTGAAGGTCCTTGGGGTAACTCCACAAAGTATATGCAAAATCAGCTTTAGAGTGTGCCCTAGTATTCCTTTTGGCAGGAAAGAAACCACGTAAAGCCTAACAGACTGACTTGATTTCCAAGACAGGGTTTAGCTCTGCTGGCAGACATCTGTGTTTGAACCTGCAGGTCTAAAACAAGCAGAGCTCCTGCTGAGCTTTAGAGTCAAACAGGTGCGTGGGGTACTTGTGGCAATCTGCTGTGTACTTGAGACTGTCAGCGGGGCACTGCTCTCTTCAGAAACATCAGACAAGTGAATCTGGAAAAGTTCTTTTTTACTGATGCAACGACTGATGTGGATGAAGCTACCTCAGTGCCCCAGGCTGCATCCAGTGTTTGAGCAGTCCCCCAGTGGCTCCTCGCTCATGGCCAGGCAGCAGCAGCACAATTTCGGAGATTCTCCCAGGAGGTAGATGATCACAGAACATTTTGTTAAATGCTGAATTAATGAGCACACGTACAGTGACTCACACTGCCCTGCCTAGCACTCAGACACTGTTGTTGCTGAGGAAATTCCCTTTTTCCAGTTGTTTTAGCACATCCCTTTCTTAGACAGGTTTTTCTCTGTAGCCCACTATTCTCAGCAGGAGAAAGGGGTCTGCACCCATTTTTCACAGCCAATTGCTCCTGCAGACTTTCTGCTGTTGAATGGCGTTTCCCAGAGCCTGTGCCGGAGGAGTAAATCCAAAACATGTCCCACTTTCTGTCTTTGATGGAAGTTTTGCCTGAACTGGGGCTCCAGGACCAGACATTCAGTTAGTTACAGGACTTTTCTTTTGTCTTAAAATACTGTCTTTTGTACAAGGAGCTTCCTTAAAGTATAAGTCTAAAATCCTTACTTACGATGCCTAGCTAAATCCCATCAGTACAACTCTTTTTAAGCATAGTACATTTTAGTTTTGCTTTGGCAAATGATAAACTGCACTTCCAAATAATATTGGTGCAATTAACCTCGTTTCTTTTATTGCTTTGTCTTGTTCATGGCACTTGCATTACAAATATAAAACTGAAAAATAAAATAAAAATGAAAGATTTCTTTAAAGTCTAACTACTGTATGGTTTGTTACAAAACCAAAGGTCAAAAGACTGTTTTCAAGAGAAGTTAGTTATTTCTTTTTTCCTTTTCTTTTTTCTTTGCCAAACTAATTTAAAGATTAATGCTAGAATTTTAAAATTGCCATATTTAGCTTTTGATATATTTATTTGTTTTAAAGTATGTGATAAACTTGATATTTTTCTGTAGTCTGTCCAAAGAAGGTACCAGAAAAGAAATTATGTGGAAGAAAGAACCAAATATTCTTGAAGCTTATTTAAAATATTGAATCCAACCAAAGATTTTTATTAATAAAGGGCTTATATTTTGTTAACTCTTGTTCTGTTGTATTTTGACTTGCAGGAATGTCACTATTTTTAAAATTTGTATGTTATGATAGCTTACCACTGTAGGGCCAAATCCTGCCTGATTTCTTCACACAATAAGCATGATGCCTGGTAGTGTTTACCAGATCAGGTCCGCTGACTGCTATAGGACTGTGAGTGGGAATAAATCAAGTGGAATTCTGTCCATATATCTTGTTGAAAAAATGTTCTTCCTCTCATTCCTTGGTAGCCCAAAAGATCCAGAAGAAAGCCAAACATGAACTACCTATTCTGAAAAGAAATCTTAGGGGAACTTCCTCAAAGGGAATTTCATCTGTAAATACTGACCTGAAAGTATTCACAACTTAATACTGACATTCCTGTAAATAGTAGAACCATATGCTGAACACATCCTTACCATAATTTTTCATTATTTGCTGAAATCGTGAAATAGTAACAGTTGCTTATACTTTCTTTTGTACAGTAAATTGTTTGAAATTGAATTTTGTATATAAAAAAATGTATTGCTACTTAGATAACTATAAAACTCTTTCATGGAATCATTTTTTAAGAAAAGAAAATATATACTCAATCTGTTTGGGGCTTTTTTTTTTTCTTTGAACACTTATTTCAAATAAACTTAAATATGCAAGAGTTTCTCCTGTGGGACAGGTTCTGTTCCCAGTCCTCTGTGCTCTGAGTGTGCAACTTTGAGTACCGTTAGATTTGAGAAATACAGTCATTCGTGTTACAGTTTGCCTAAAACTGGATCCGCGATACCTTTTCCAGTGCTCCTTGTGTACTCAGATAGCAGAGGCCACAACTGAGATTTGTTTGCAGGTATTGACTACTTCATTTATAGACGTCTTCCTAACAACATCAAAGGTAAATCTTGTGTTCTAGCTGCTTTAGATACCCACTTTGCAATTAAATGACTCCCTCCTAAGATGCATCTGTCTCTGTGAACACAAAGGGAGGTTTGGTTTCTAGCACAGACATAGACAGCTGCACCAGAGATGCTGAATATTAAGTGACAGATCTTATCCTGGGAGCTTTAATTTTCTTCTGACTTTAGTCTTAGGCATTTAGCAGAATCTAAGGTCGAAGAGCTTTCACTAAGACATTTGAAATGGGCTCATAATGAGGAAGAGTGCTATTTGGTTTGTTCACTTAAATTGAAAAATGCATTAATTTTTAAGAAAACAATGAAATGGTAAAACTAAAGGAATGAAACTCAGTGATTCCTTCGACTGCATCTAGCTGAATGTAGCTCTGAAGGGAAGCCGCTCAGGAAGCAGAAAGTCTACACTGTGTATAGCACGCTTTTATTGCCTTGTGGGACCTGTACAAGCAGTGCAGCGCTCAGAACCTGACCTCCCCTTTCCCATTTTTTCTCCTGCTCCCATTTAACTGCTCTGAGAGAAGGCAAAGCATGAGGCTTCATACCAATCCTTCCTTTCTAACCAGAAAATATTAATGCTCTGACTAATGAAATTTAGTTAGAAGGTGGGAATTCTGTTCCAAGATAATGGATATGAAAACTAGAAGCAGGTAAAATCATTGCCTAGTTGGTAACTGGTTTGGTTTTGTCAGTTCTTAAAGACAAAATAGTAGATATGAGCTCATTAGATATAAGATAATGCCTTCCAGAAAGAGATTTGCACTGTGCTTGTGGTACTTTCATGAAAGTTTTTTTTCATATTTGTGATGCAAGTAGGAACAAGTTTTGTTTTTACCAATAGCAAAGCTGAGGCAGAATTATGCTAATAAGGATTCACTGGAAGAGGGGAAAAAAAGGAAAGTTAATATAGAGAAGCAGGGATCTGGAAGTGAACAAGAAATAACTGAGAACACCTTGATGTGACTCATAGCTACCATATTGGCCAGGTTTGACGAAAGATAGCAATATCTGTATTCATATAAATACAGCTGAATTCTGTATTGATTTCACAGTATCTCCACGATGTGCATTCTGCCTGTTCTTGACACACTTCTGCCTCAAAATTGTAAGTACAGAACCCCATTTCCCAGACCTGCTTTGATCAAAAGGGGGGAAAAAAAAAAAGCCAAACCCCAATGTATCAATGTATTAAACGGGAAAATCATTATACTGGTTTACTTAGTCCAAGAGCAAATACAGATAAGAGTAGGAACGATTACAGCTGGCAGTGGCTGCATAGACCATTTTTGAACCATTGCTAAAATACACTGTTTGCTTTCAGCTACCCAAAGTTTGTGGGAAAGACACAACTTCAGTTGGTACATCTGAGGAGGAAATCATACCCACCCTATTGTGTTGACAGTACAAGCCTGAATCTTCTGGATTTCCATGCCATTGTGTTTCTAAGATACTGTCTTACAAATATTTTGCAGTCTTAAATAGCTTAAGGGTGAATAAGTCTCAAGTCAAGGCACAGATACATTTCTATTTTTAAACTCTCCATACTCTCTGGTCCTGAGCTGTTAATGATCTTTTTGGCTGTTGTCATTTCCAATAAGCAATAATAAAATAATTTACTTTTCATCTTGTTACCTCAGGAGTCTGAACTCTCCTGAAGTTTCATAGTTCACTTGAGTATATTTATATTTTCCTATGAAGTTTTCAGAGTAAACAACTCTTTCTCCTTTTGCCACTGAAGAAACCATGTCTTAAAATTTATATGAATTCCATTCAAACTCTGGTTCAATTCTTTGCACGTTTGAGTACTATTTATTCCATGACCAAACACAATATGCCATTTTTAGTACAGCAGAGAAAAACCAAAGTTCTTTTTTTAACCTCCTCCTTTTTTAGCCCAAAAAGCCCCTTTCTGAAGAAGAAACTAACTATTAATGTGGCTGCTTTTTAATTTTACGCTCTTTCCTTAATCTTTAATGCCATGCAGGTCACCTGATTTGAGGCCACCTGAAGCCAAAGAAAATATTTCCTTTGATTCCCTTTGACTGCAGTGCACTTTGCATGAGACTAAGCATTGCTTATGGAATGATTGGTTCCACTTATAATAAAAATTTGTGACACTTACTGTACAGTACTTTTATAACTCAGAGTGTCAGCTAAAGCCAAAATACATTAATGTAGATCAGTTGTGCAAGCAGTAAAGTTGTGCATGCTGTTGTCCTAGTTTTCACCAGGTAAAGGGCTCAGAAAATCAAAGGCATGACAGTCTCATGTGAACTTAGTTACACAAGTCTGAAGGTTTTGAGGTCATAGCTTTCATCTTGCTAGGTGTGTGAGAAAATTCATGCCAAAATGGGAAATGTATCCATCCCAAAAGTTATGAGAAAAAGAATCAAAACACAAAATATTTAGCAGAGTGCTTGTGCTGAACAAACTTAAAAGCGTAACAAAGTCTGTTTTTCAGAGCAGTTAAATGCAGGTAGTTAAGTAATCTTTCTTGGAGCAGAAGAAAAGGTTATTCCCTATTTTTACTTCTAAATGAAAAAAGAGTGGTCATCTTC